CAAACACCCAAATATTTAGAAATAAAAATAATAAAGATTAATGGCGGTGCCCAAACTTTTTTATATGACTGTATCAGTGAATCTGTATTTCAAATGGTTCTGATCTCACGGGTCGCCAATATCACCTGGTTACTATCGTTCTCCCAATTGGGTGGAGATCTCAGCAGGGAATTATTGCTGTTCTTTGTGATCTGGAAGCACTTAGTGCTTTTTCCCCAGAGCGACTACGGGCACACGGCGCTCTGCCTTGGTTACATCGGGGGCTGGTCAGGAGGCCACCACAGATTATATGTGGTCTTAATAGAACCAGGCGGGTTGATGGGAGTCCTTGGGGCTTCATGTGTTCAAACTATTTCTGTGTTACTATGTTCTTGTTCCTTGACATGTTTGTGGCCACACTGAGTGACCAACAGGAGGCAGAAACAGATCAGATGCAACATCCAGAATTAAGATCAAAGGGTCAAAAAGTAGAGGTCGAGGTTGACATGATTAAAACAACTATATATTATGAGTGATTTAAATATTGTGTGTTATCATGTGAGAGGACTGGGTCATCCGATAAAGAGGAAGAAAATATTAGCTGAATTAAAATGGCTTAAAAGTTCAATATCTCTATTGCAAGAGACTCATCTTAACGACTTGGAGCAGCAGAAATTAAAAAGAGAGTCGGTGGATCAAGGGTTTTTAGCCAGCTGTCCAAAAAGCAGAGGGAGGGGCAATTTTATTATAGAAATAGTTCAAATTACTGTTAATGGCAAGAATACAAAGTGTAGACTGAAAAAGTTCAGATAGAAAAACAAACTTTTCAAACTTTCACTCTTTTCTACATAAATCATCCAAATCAAAGCAGCAAAATATTTCCTGTTTATTTTTCTAAAACATCTTCAAGGATTTCCAGCTAAGTTTGTAGAGAAACTAAAAAAACATCATAAACCTGATTTTATTTGTTTAGCAAATATTTTAAAGAGAGAAAAACACTTTTATCTCCTCACTAAATTATTGCAAACTAGAAATCCCTCTAACTGAACTACAATTGTTTTAATATTCATCTTAAATAAATCATTTTCTATTAGTTTATAGTTTCTTTCATTTCTAACAATGTTTCTTTACACCATGAAAGTTTATTATAGACTTTGTAAATAATCAATGTTGTTCTGATCTCTACTAAATCAGAACATTTTAAAGTTTGCACTTTCATTTATTTATTTTCTTGTTACTACATTAAAATGTTTCCATAATTTAGTGTTAATCTATTTTTGTCACATCATTAATATTTGTAATTCTCCTTCCATTAAACTGTTGCTGCTCCAAACTGACCAGATCAAAATAATGAATCAGCAAATAAAGTAAATGTTAACAAATTAAATTCATTGCATAAATCATTTATGTAAAGTAATAAAGTTTAGGATCCAGTTCTGACCCTTGTGGTTTTCATCAGGTAACTTCTAGTAAATTATAATTTATATTATTTGTACATTTTGATGTTTTGAGTAACTTTTACCCCGGAATGTGAAATGAATCATAATTCAGAAATAAGAGAATAATTATATAAATATATATTGCAGACAGTTTCATAACTTAATATTCAGAAATTAGCTTCCATCTCCTCAGGTTTGGTCAGAATCTCCTTCAGTCTAATTTGGGTCAAATGTTCTGGTTTCCTTCCACAAGGTTCTCATGATTCATTGCTGGAGTTCTGGTCCATTCCTTCTTACAGAACCGGTGACGGTCTTTACTAAAATATGAACTTTTTATGAGCAAATTGATAATAAAATGACAACCATCAGAAGGCCTGTTCTTTAGGTCAGAGCAGCAGAATATTTTCCTCTCTTCTTTCTCCAACATGGTTCAGAAATGGCGCATTAAACTGTTGTTGGCAACAACAGCTAAAAAAGATTAGCAGAGGAAGCTGCCATCAGCTGCTGCACTTCTACTATTAGTCCACTAGATGGAGACATGGAGCAACATTTACATTCACTGATTCAACCTGAACAACAGGAAATATTTTAGTTCACAATCATTAAACTCTACAAGTGGAGAAGATTAACTATTTAATAATCTGACTGAATCAAACACATTTTAACAATATTTGTTTTATTTTGAAAGGGAGCAGCAGGAAACTGTTGATTCTGACTTAAAGGTGGAGAAAAGAATTTGATACCAGATGAAAATCTGAATCAGTTCAGAGAAGAAAACAAAGAAACATCAGCTGCTCATCATGTTGTTTGATTCCAGTTCATCAGTAATCTGATAATCCTGTAGATTAAAAGGAAGAGAGATTAAACTTTGAGTTCAAATGATGGGGAATATTTTCTCCAAACTTCTTTGATGATTTCACTGAATTACTGTCTGTAATTTTGCTTGATTTTAATTTTGTTCTTATTGTTGGTGATTTTAACTTTCATATCGACAATCCATTGGATCAAGACAGTAAAGAGCTGCATCAGATCCTGAATAACTACAGACTGCTCCAACATGTCCTGGAACCCAAACATAATCATGGATTCACTCTGGTCCTTATTATTTCTAAAATAGTCATTATATCTAAAATTTCAGTCCGTGATGTAAAACTTTCAGATCACTTTTGTATTTTTTGGGACAGTTTTCTCCCTGCTCAAAAAGACAACTATAAACAAGTCATTTCAAAAAGATGCATTAAACTACAGCTGATCAATTTATTCAGGCTTTTCCTTCATCTGCTATAAACTCCTGTACTTCTGAGTGATCTAATTGTCAACTTTATGTTTAAAATTGAGAAGGTTATTGACACCATTGCTCCTGTTACTACAAAAGTAATCTCTGGGAAACATAAACGACAGTGGAGAAATTTAGAGTCGGTTAGAAAAGGGAAGAAAGAATGAAGGAAAGCAGAACATCAGTGGCGTAAAACTAAACTGCAAACACATTTAGATATTTACAAAGATAAACTCAAAATGTTTAATTCTGAACTGAGAAATGCAAGAGAGAGTTTTTTTCTCAAATGTCATTTCTACCTCTATCAACAACTCTCATGCTCTGTTCTCAATTGTTGACAGATTGATAATCCACCTTCTTCTGTTCATCATGAATTTTTCTCTCTGAGGTCTGTGACAAACTTGCCACCTATTTTGTAAATAAAATGGTGAAAATAAGGGAGACCATAAACTCCTCTGTGTCTGTTGTTAGGAAACAATTAACTGTTTTCCACCAATCAGGACTTACCTATGATGACCCACTTTAACCTGGTCACTCAAAAACATTTGAGTTACAATTTATATGAATTCATCCACCTGTTCCCTTGACATCATACCTACGAGTTTATTCTTAAAGGTCTCAGATGTTTTTGCTCCTGATCTTCTACAAATAATTAATAATTCACTTTCCTCTGGAGTTTTCCCTCAAGCTTTAAAGACTGTGGTAGTTAAACCACTTTCTCAAAAACAGATTCTGGACTCATCAATTCTAAGCGATTACTGACCAATATCAAACTTACCTTTTTTAGCTAAAATATTAGAAAAAAATTGTTTCTAAACAGATAAATGTTTTTCTAGCCCTGAACAACTGTTTTGATGTTCATCAATCAGGCTTCTGTCAACTGAAACTGCTGCTGTGAAATATTCAATGACCTCCATCTAACACCGACCCTAATAAATGTCTATATTATTTCTACTTGACTTTAGTGCTGCATTCAACACAGTCGATCACAATATTTTATTATCTTGATGAAAAAATTGGGTTGGCATTTCCAGTGTATTTCTCAGCTGGCTTAAATCTTACCTGTCTGGCAGAACCTTTTGTGTTTCATATTCAGCTTTAAATCCAAGGTAAATTAAATTACCTATGGAGTTCCCCAAGGGTCCATCCTGGGTCCCCTTCTTTTTAATATCAATATGCTTCCATTAGTTCAAATCATATCAAATAATGAGATAGAAAACCACAACTATGCCAATGACACACAGCTATTCATTAGTCTTTCACCAGGAGATTACAGTCAGGTTCAAATATTCACTACATGTATTGAACAGATTAATGTCTGGATGAGCAAAAACTCTCTCCAACTAAATCAAAATAAAACTGAAATATTAGTGTTTGAACCAAAAGAACATAGATTAAAAACAATCACCACCTTCAATCTGTTGGATTAAAATGCTCTGACAAGCCAATAATCTGGGGGTGATCATGGATCCTGATCTGAACTTTAATAACCGCATCAAATCTATCATAAAATCATCATACTATCATTTAAAAATATTGCTAAAATTAGACCACTCCACAAGACTCTGAGAAATTAGTTTCTTTGTTTATAGTAGACTCGATTACTGCAGTGCCGTATTTACTGGATTATCAAAAAAAGCAATAAGAGCTCCAGCTTCTCCAGAATGCTGCTGCAAGAGTCCTAACAAAAACAAAAAAAGATCAGCAGATCAGCCCAGTTCTGAGATCCCTGCACTGTCTGCCTGTTGCTCAAATAATATAATTAAAAATATCTTTAATAGTTTACAAAACACTTCATGATAGAAACCTAGACTACATTTCTGATCTTCTTCAACCATATATACCACTCATATATATATCTACCAGAATCAAACCAATTAACTAAACCAAGAGTCAGAACTAAACTTGGTGAAGCAACATTTAGTTTTTATGCTCCAACACTTTACAATAAACTTCCTGCTCATTGTAAGACTGCGCCTACTTTGAGATTATTTAAAACAAGGTTAAAAAACTTCTTATTTGAAATTGCCTATTAAACATTTAATTAACAGTTAATTCATGAACTACATTTAACATTTTAATGTTTATTTGTCTATTTTTAACCTTAATTTTTTAAAATTATTATTATTTTTACTATCTTCTTGTTGTATTTTGTTTTAAACTTTCTTGTAAAGTCACTTTGAGTTGTCTTTGGCTGAAAGGTGCTATATAAATAAAGTTGCCTTTCCTCTGACTCCCAGTCAGTCAGACCAGTCAGACCAGTCTGGGCTCATTTCCCCTAATAACACTTTCAGTTTAAACTAACCTGTTTATTTGTGGCACCAGTCTGGATCTACTGTGGTTCTGTTGGGTCTCAGCTTGTTGTTCAGATTTTCTTCATCAACTCTTTGGATCATTTGAACAAACTGTAAGTTTGCTTTGTTTCCTACTTGAACTTTGTCATCAGGATATTCCTGCTTGTTTCTGCTCTGATGTTTGGACAAAATGTTCACTTCTGATTTCAGCTAAACAACTAAAATCTCTGCTGTTTGTAGTTTTCTGTTGAACATCTGGTTTTCTTTATTTTCTTCTCTGAACAAACTGATTCTTGGTTTTATTTCCTGGATTCAATCTCTGGTCTCCACCATTAAAGCCAGAAAGTCCTGTTGCTTCCTTTCAAAATGAAATAATGTTATTGTTAAAATGTATTTAATTCAGTCAGATCATTAAATAGTTGAACTTTGATGGAGCAGATAATCCACTTGTAGATTTTAATAATTAACTAACTATAATCACTTCCTGTTCAGGTTGAATCAGTGAATGTAAATGTTGCTCCATGTCTCCATCTAGTGGACTGATAGTAGAAGTGCAGCAGCTGATGGCAGCTTCCGCTGCCTCTCTGCTGTCTGACTGCATTCACGTGACACTGATATGAAGCAGAGAAGAAGAGCCAATCAGAGGAGGAGCAGCTGATCTTTCACTAATCACTAATGATGTAAAGATGATCAGATTTTACATCATCAGTGTAAAGTTTCTACCTTGATTTGCAGTGGAATCTGCAGACCTGCTCAGATCCAAAATCCCATTTTCCAGGAGTCACTGGTTTCATGTGTGTCGTTGTTTCTGCTGCTGATGTCAGAATCCAGCTGTAAAACCTGGAGGTTGAACTTTCAGCTTCTCTCCTCCAAACATCCAACAAGCTGCCATCCCTTAATTCTTGTTTCTTAGATTTTCTTTTTGTTTGCCATAATTCCACAAACCCGATAATAATTGCTTTTTAGTGCTAAGGAGAAAAGTTGTTAAAGTTGATATTTCTATCAGATCAGCAGTTGCTGACCTTTGACCTGCTGTGGAAGCAGAAAGGATGGACTTAGTTTTTCACTCAGTCTTTTGGTTCAGGTCAATTAATAATAATTCAATATAATCTTTACTGCTGTTGTTTTGAATTCATTTTAAGACCTGCTGAGGAACAAATGATCTTTCATTCATGTGCTTGTCAATGAACAGCAGAACTGGTTCTGGTTCTGGTTCTGGTCACTTTTTTAAAACTATTTGGAGAGTTTAAAACCCTTCATCTGTTTAATAATCTGACGTCATTCAAGTTGTAGTTTCTCCACCAATGAAGAGTCCAGTTGGTTCCAAGTTAAAACAGATTCTGGTTCCATTGGAGCTGAACAGAACCTGGATCAGCAGAATAACAGCAGCAGAACATTTGTGTTCAAACTGGGAGATATGAGTAGATTTTATGTCTTCAGACGTCAACAGATAAACTTTTATCTGACAGATCTCAGTCAAACCAGTCAAACCAGTTTGGCCTCATTTCTACTTAGAATAGTTTCTGATTAAACTCACCTGTGAAGGTTTGGCACCAGTCTGGTTCTGTTGGGTCTCAGTTTGTTGATCACATATTCTTGTACAACTCCTCAGATCATTTGAACAAATTGTAAGTTTGCTTTGTTTTCTACTCAAACATTGTCTTCAAGAATATTAATATCTATTTCTTTTTTCTCTCAGAAGTTTGGAGAAAATGTTCACCTCTAATTTCAGATCAACCTTTAATCTCTGCTGTTTTGAAGGTTAATCTACAGGATTATTGATGAACTAGAATCAAATGCGATGAACGTGATGTTTTTTTCTTCTCTGAACAAATGATTCATGATTTTTATTTCCTTGTATCAAACTCTGGTCTCCACCATTAAAGTCAGACACAAGTTTGTCCTGCTTCCTTTCAGAATTAAATGCTGTTATAGTAAAATGTGTTCAATTCAGTCAAATTACTAAATAGATAATTGTTAGTGGCATATTTACTCCACTTGTAGACTTTAATAATTAACTAATTAAAATACTTCCTGTTCAGGTTGAATCAGTGAATGTAAATGTTGCTCCATGTCTCCATCTAGTGGACTGATAGTAGAAGTGCAGCAGCTGATGGCAGCTTCCTCTGCCTCTCTGCTGTCTGACTGCATCAACCTGACACTGATATGAAGCAGAGAAGAAGAGCCAATCAGAGGAGGAGCAGCTGATCTTTTTCCAGCACTAATGATGATCAGAGTTGATGTGCAGATGAATGATGTGTGTTTCCTCTGCAGGTGAAGCTAGAAAGTGTGTGTGAGCTGATGTGGATTCAGCAGCATGGATCAGTGTGAGGACAGAGAGGAGGGAGTCCCTCCCTCTAAAACCACTCTGTGTGGGGAAGATGAGAGCCAGAGCAAAGGTCAGAGGTGAGGTCACCATCTCTAACTGTCCACAGCCCTTTTCACACAGCGTTCACTATATCAGGCCAGAACAGACGTGGTGATGAAGCTGCTGCTGCTCCTCTTTGCTGATTAAGTTTTATTCATCATGTTTCTGTCAGGATCCATCAGAGACACAAACCAGAACCAGAACCAGAGCCAGAACCAGAACCAGAACCAGAACCAGAACCAGAACCAGAACCAGAACCCAGCTGTGTGTCTTTTAAGAGTGACAGGTCAATGGGTCGTCCCATTTACTTTAAATGTCCTGGATCTCCACCATCAGAGAGGTGAGCTGTTTCTAATTGCTGTAACTTCTGTTTATATCTGTTATTGTGGCCATGTGATGATAAGTTCTGTTGGGTTCTGTTGTCATGAAAGCATTGGACTGAATTTCAGGTTATTTTTCTTTTCATACGTCAAAGATGTAATACGTATGATGTCTACATGGAAACATGTTCCAATAATGAACATGTTACTATGAACACAATAAAGTTCAACTGGATCCTTTGTATAAAAATCAAACAGGTCCGTTTGGATCCACAGTCTCTACCCAGAGCTTCACTAGTTAACAGAATCTCTAAATCTGATCTGATGTTTACCTGACATCAATTTAACCATCATTCATTGGACAGTTATTGACTCCATACAGAAAGAATCTTATAAATCCTCAGACAGGTCTTATAAACTATTATGTTGACATGACATTTGGACCAGAAACATTTAACTGTGTTTTATTCTTTTGTTTAAGCCTAATTTTTCCAAATGAAAACACTCATTCATTTATCTGATATTAATATTAACACAAGAACAAATAGACAGAAATGAATTTTATGTCTAAGTTGATATTTGCATCTTTCTCTAAAATCTGACAAAAGACAGATTCATTCTGAAATAAAAACATTTTCTATGAATTATTTTATGATTCCACGTCTGAAGTTTAAACATCTTCCAACATGGCAGATTATCAACCATTTCTACAGTCAAACTAAATATTTAGTGGATCTGATTGAGCAGTGGGCTTCAGTGTCTCTAATGGACCATCTGGTTCTGATTGAAGCTCCATCAGATCCTCCTTGGATGGTCAGAGTGGAAATGATTCCTGGTTCTGCTCCATGTCAGAGCTCAACACTAAGATCACCAAACTGTTCTCTCAGTCATTTCAAACCAACATGTTGGTCTCAGAAACAAATCTTTTGCTCTTTAAAGAAGGCTGGACATTATTCAGGAGGATCAATGATCAGGAACATGTTGGAGGATTGGACCGGTTCTGATAGGAATCATTTAGAACATCAGGTTGATGATCTGTCTGGTTCTGTTTTTGGTTTACAGTCACAAAAAAATTATCTTGAAAGCAAACAGAAAGTTTCTAGTGAGATTTTTTTCTTTCAGGATCCATCAGAGATTCAAACCAGAACCAGAACCAGAACCCAGCTGTGTGTCCTTTAAGAGCAACAGGTCAAAGGATGACATCATTGACTTTAAATCTCCTGGATCTCCACCATCAGAGAGGTGAGCTGTATCTAATTGCTGTAACTCTGGAAACTGAACCAGTAAGAACTCAGATGTTTCCAGTTATATTTCCAGAGGTTTGATCCATTATCTACAGAAATCAGCTGCTCTGTTCTCATGAAAACACCTTCATATCTTTATCTCTGGATGTTGATGATGATGTTCTGTTGCTTCCTGGCTCCATGTCAGACTAACAGTGGATCACATTTCCACTGGGAAATACCTGCTAAAGCCATTCTGGTCCATCAGGACTTGGTTCCTGTGTGCATTGTGAGAGCAGTTCAGCAGGGAAGGAAAGCTTCATGATGTGGTTGGTGAGATCTGCTGGAACTCAACCAAACTGAGCTGATGTGGACCATCAGAGGTTCTGCTGGTTCTTAATGAGATCAACAGGAACATTAAATCTTTACAACTACTTAGATCACCTGGTTCACTGCTCACATCCAGATATCACTTCATGGACCTTTACCTTCTGATTGTCTCTGTGTGGACAGATACAATGTGAGCTCACTGGATTCCAGGGATCTACAGGATCATTTTAAAATCCCCACTCTAACATCCAGGAGAGGGTCCCACATGGACACACCCACATATTTCAGACCTCCTCCATGTCCACATCACCTCAGATCTAGTCATCAGAACCTGATGGATGTCCCACACTGTCCTGAAGACTGTGTGGACAGAGTCTTCACTTCCACTGTCCCCAAGCTCTGGGAAACTGTCTCCACCAGCATAAGATCTGCTGACAGTTTGGACTGTTTGAAGTCCAACTTCAAAATCAACTTTTTAAAATGGCTACTGGTTTATTCTGGTGTTACTGGTTGTAATGAAGACTGAAGACTGAATCTGGTTTGGTTATGGGTTTGCAATCACTCCAAGGTGTCTGGTTAGAACAGCTGATATACACTACCGTTCAAAAGTTTGGGGACACCCCATTCAGTACTGTAGCTTCTGTGAGGAGCTAAACTGTTTTCAGATGTGTGCACATGGTTGCACAAGGGTTTTCTAAACATCAAATAGCCTTCTGAGCCAATGAGCAATCATTGTACCATTAGAACACTGGAGTGATAGTTGCTGGAAATGGGCCTCTATACACCTATGTAGATATTGCACCAAAAACCAGACATTTTTAGCTAGAATAGTCATTTACCACATTAGCAATGCATAGAGTGTATTTCTTTAAAGTTAGGACTGGTTTAGAGTTATTTCATTGAAAAGTACAGTGCTTTTAGTGACATTTCAATGTGACCCCAAATTTTTGAACGGTAGTGTATAAGTTTAGGTGAGTTAGTGAAATGAATTTCCGAGTCCAGAATTGAGCTTTACTTGAGTTTAATTAGCTCTTGAGGTTCCTCCATACATTTAAAGAAACGTGTGGTGTGTTTGTGGTTTTCTATAAAGATGAACAAATACAAATTATGAGAACTTGCCTGTAAATACTATGACATATAAACCAAATGTCCACAAAATGAATAAACATGTTTAAAGATTACTAAAGACAAGCAACTGATTAATATGTGACTCTGAGAATGTAAGCAATACTTATAAATCAATAATAATCAACCCTGCAAATTATAGCATCACACAATAAAACACACAAGAGAAATAAGGCATTTGAATTGGAAATGGTAACAGGAATAACAACTGCATCAAATTATTGGAGCCTGATAGCTTAATGTTAAACAAACAACTTTTAACTCACATTAAAACGAGTAAACCACAATAAATGATCATAATATTCAACAAGACAATGTGCAAATACAGCTCTTAGAAATGTATGAAACTGAACTAAACCACCAACAGTATTAATTTGATTCAATGGACGGACACATTAGAAAGAGGTGATAAACAAAGTTTGCTGTAAGAGCCAACAGATCTGAACACTCAATGTTCAGATCTATAAGCAAGACGTAGAAAATATGAATAAGAAGCCACCCAGTCGCTGAAATGAAATACTACGTCTAAAACACCTTGATAAAGAAAAAACTAGAGGCCTGAAAATAAACAATTAACAATCTTTTGTACACTGGTATTAATCAATGTAGATAATCTTCCTCTTTCTAACTTTAAATTGTGTTCATGTGATGCTTTGTTTTTATATATCAAAGACTTTTAATGTGAAACTCCTGGTGATTTCCTCTGTAAATACTGCTTGATGAATATTTCCTGACTTCCTAATTGTTCCTGGTTCCTCTACAGAGTGGACCAGCAGAGCTCAGAGGTTCCCAGGGGTCCATCTGCCCAGCAGCATCAAACACAGCTGGACTCCATATTTATGGTCTGTAAATGAACAACAACTACTTCTATACGTGTTTTTTCAAAATCACCTTCATGCTGCACTTTGTAGACCAGAGGACTGTCAGTCTGTCCAACATCCATCTGGTGTTTGGCTCCATGATTTCACTCTGATGTTTCCTTCAATCTATTATTCTGTTCAGCTGCTGGAGGACAACATTGTCACTTATGTGAAGACAGAACTGCAGAAGATCCAGAAAGTTCTGAGTCCAGATTACCCAGAACATTCAGAGAGTCAGAGAGATGATGAGGTGTTCGAAGGTGATGATGAAGAGCAGAGGAGGAGCAGCAGAGAGGCAGTGATGAAGATCACACTGAACTTCCTGAGGATGAAGCAGGAAAATCTGGCTGACCATCTGCAGACCAGTAAGAGGATTTCTTCAGAGATTTGAAATGATAGATAAATTACACATTGCTTAAGTGATGTAATCAAATTTAAAAGATGATTTTTTTTGTTCATGTTTCGTTATTGTGTTAATTTAGGACATTTTGCTCCAGTTTGTCAACATAAACTTAAATCTGGTCTAAAGAAGAAGTTCCAGTCTGTGTTTGAGGGAATTGCTAAAGCAGGAAGTCCAACCCTTCTGAACCATATCTACACAGAGGTCTACTTCACAGAGGGCGGGACTGGAGAGGTCAATGATGAACATGAGGTCAGACAGATTGAAACAGCATCCAGGAAACCACACAGACCAGAAACAACAATCAGACAAGAAGACATCTTTAAAGTCCCACCTGGAAGAGATCAACCAATCAGAACAGTGATGACAAAGGGAGTGGCTGGCATTGGGAAAACAGTCCTAACACAGAAGTTCACTCTGGACTGGGCTGAAGACAAAGCCCACCAGAACATCCAGTTTATATTTCCATTCACGTTCAGAGAGCTGAATGTGCTGAAAGAGAAAAAGTTCAGCTTGGTGGAACTTGTTCATCATTTCTTTAGTGAAACCAAAGAAATCTGCAGCTTTGAACACTTCCAGGTTCTGTTCATCTTTGATGGCTTGGATGAGAGTCGACTTCCACTGGACTTCCACAACAAGGAGATCCTGACTGATGCTACAGAGTCCACCTCAGTGGATGTTCTGCTGACAAACCTCATCAGGGGGAAACTGCTTCCCTCTGCTCTTCTCTGGATAACCACACGACCTGCAGCAGCCAATCAGATCCCTCCTCAGTGTGTTGGGATGATAACAGAGGTCAGAGGGTTCAATGACCCTCAGAAGGAGGAGTACTTCAGGAAGAGATTCAGAGATGAGGAACAGGCCAGCAGGATCATCTCCCACATGAAGACATCACGAAGCCTCCACATCATGTGCCACATCCCAGTCTTCTGCTGGATCACTGCTACAGTTCTGGAGGATGTGTTGGAGACCAGAGAGGGAGGAGAGCTGCCCAGCACCCTGACTGAGATGTACGTCCACTTCCTGGTGGTTCAGACCACAGTGAAGAAGGTCAAGTATGATG